AATTAGTTGTCAAATGATTGTTTTTTTTTTAACAAACGATATTATCCACATTAAAGGGGAGAAGGTGGGTTTAGCCTCATAATAAGCTAGCAATAATGTGATTCAATAAGTTGTTTATTAAATATTATTTTCCCTATTCTTAATGTAAATTCAATAGAATGTAGATGAAAATTGAAAGACCAATTTTATTATGTCAATTCAGCTGTTTTGACTGGTTTGTAAGGAGTTTTTTCTATCACTCAAAATAATGCACCAAATAATGCAAATGTATTTTTGTCATTTTAACACTGTTTTTTTAATAATTAATTCTTTTTGTAAAGTTTTTTTTAATTAGTACCTCACAATAGATAATGTGACTCAATCAGTTGTTCATTAAATATTATTTTCACTATTTTTAAACGCATTCAAAACACCTTAAGAGGTGTGTAATACCGGTTATAAAAAAATGTCTTTCGCACGGGCATAATAATGTGATTAAATTAGTTGTCAAATGATTGTTTTTTTATATATATTTTACAAACGATATTATCTATACTAAGGGGAGGGGGTTGGCTTAGCCTCACAATGGGCTAGCAATAATGTGATTCAATCAGTTGTTTATTAAATATTATTTTCTCTATTAATGTAAATTCAATAGAATGTAGATGAAAATTGAAAGACTGATTTTATTATGTAAATTCAGTTACTTTGATTGGTTTGTGAGGGGTTTTTTTCTAGCATGATCTAAGATTATTCATTTATTTCAAATATTTGACTTTCCTTTTGTCAATTCACGCATATAAATACATTTCAAATGTGTAAGTCATGCATAGCACTCCGTAATTCAAAAAATGTGTCATGCGCATGCATGAATGCTAGTTATATATAAAGCCAACAACCTTTTTTGGGGTCACAAGCTTCACCAAAAAATTCTAAACAAATATGCCCCCAAAACAAAAAAAAATTCAAAAGCAACCCAAAATAATGCACCATATAATGCAGAAGTATTTTCATCATTTTAATAGTGTTTTCTTTAATAATTAATTATTTTTGTGTAGTTTTTTTTAATTAGTACCTCATAATAGGCTAATAATAATGTGATTCAATTAGTTGTTCATTAAATATTATTTTCTCTATTTTTAAACATGTTCAAAACATCTTAATAGCCGTGTAATGCTGGTTATAAAAAAGGTCTTTCACACGTGCATAATAATGTGATTAAATTAGTTGTCAAATGATTGTTTTTTTTTTTGAACAAATGATATTATTTACACTAAGGGGGAGGGGTGGGCTTAACCTTACAATGGGCTAGCAATAATATGATTCGATAAGTTGTTTATTAAATACTATTTTCTCTATTCTTAAGGTAAATTCAATAGAATGTAGATGGAAATCAGAAAACTGATTTTATTATGTGAATTGTGTTGCTTTAATTGGTTTGTGAGGAATTTTTTCTAACATTATATCAGATTATTCATTTACTTCAAATATTTGACTTTCCTTTTATCAATTCACGCATATAAATACATTTAAAATATGTAAGTCTCACATAACATGCTGTGATTCAAAAAATGCATTCTACACGCACGTGAACGCTTGCATAAACACGCACATGCATGAAGGTTAGTGTAAATAAAAAGAATGGAATGATCGGAAAATGAAAGTAACTGAACTAACAAATTGGTAAAGCCACAACACGTGCACGACGAAGAAGCCACAAAACAGAGGAACAAGGACACAAACATAAGGTATAACCTTTTGCTTTCATTCCCTTTCCCTTTGCACCAACTCAAAGGACCAAACCAATAAAACAAACACAAACATAAGGTTTAACTTTTTGCTTTCTCTCCCTTTACCTTTGCACCAACTCAAAGGACCAAACAAAATCCTCAACTCAGAATATGATTCTCTCTCTTTCTATTCCCATTCACCTCTATCCCCTCTTTTCACATATTATTTTTTGTCTTATTATTTTTATAAAAAAATTAATATAAGATGTTGCGTAGCTAAACTGCAATCGTTTAAATAAGAGGGAAAAGAAAAGAAAAGAGATTAGGAAACAAGAGAATCCTCCTCCCCCAACACACTCTCTCTCTCTCTATTATACGCTTTCTTCAGTTTTACTTTTCGTAACATCCCACTAGACAAAACCAAAAGGAAAAACAAAACCAGTGGAACGAGTGACAGCCCCTTAAACCTCTCTCTCTCCCTCTCTCCCTCTCTAAATTTCATTCCTTTATTCAATGAATGAGAGCCGGCTCAAACTCGAGAGCAAAACAATTGAGGTGAGACAAGTGTGAACCGATCTGCTTTGCTTCCTTAAACGTATCCGGCATTGATTCATCCACATATTGCTCTCCTTTTTGCAACGCACATGGTACTAGATTTTCTCTCTCTCTCTCTCTCCTCTCTTTCTCTAACCATGTTGCATGTTTTTTCTTATTTGCCAAGATAATGGGAATTCAAGCCTTTGTGATTTGAATTTTGATCCCAAAACTTTCCTTTTTGTTGATTTGAGCCTTGTTGTTTGGAGAAATCCCATTTGGAAATGTACTTTTTGTTCCTAACTTTCTGATGTGATCTCGATCTTTTGTTGAATTTGGATGCGTTATGGGCCTCCCTTGTTGCATAAATTGGAAACCCCATGACGCAAAATCCAAATTTTCTTCACTTTTCTCATTGAAAGTGATTTTTCAGAATCTGGGGTGTACTTGTGTGATGATTTGAATCGAAAAAGAGGTTCTTTTGAATTTTTCATTGCGAAAACTACACAACCCTGAATTTGAATTTGAATTTAAATTTGAATTTTGTTGTGTTTGGTGGCAGTTGAATGCGATTAAGATTTGAATCAAGATGCAGTCAAGGGGAGTGGTGGCATTGGAGGAAGGCAAGGATCCTGCTACTACATTTAAATCCAGCCATGCCAGGGCCTTGCCGATGCGACTCGTTCAATTTCTTGTCATGTTTGTAGTTTTGGGTCTTGGGGTTTCGCTGTTGAGTATGCACTCGATTCGGTTTTTCCCTGTTCAGCATGTGGCTCCAACAGCACCTTCCACAATTAGGCCTTGCTTTGAAGAGCCGAGTAGTTTAGAAAGTCGGATTAGACCTCCATCTAATCTGTTGCACGCCATGAATGACACCGAGTTGATGTGGCTCGCTTCACATGCTCCTCAAATAAAGGAGTATCCGTTTAAGAGAGTTCCTAAAATTGCCTTCATGTTCTTAACCAAGGGACCATTGCCGATGGAGCCTCTTTGGGAGCGGTTTTTTAGAGGACACAAGGGGCTTTATTCGATCTATGTACATTCGTTGCCATCTTATAATGCCGATTTCTCACCTACATCGGTGTTTTACAAGAGACAAATCCCAAGCCAGGTAAATTTACTTTAATTGAATATGTTTCATGCATTTGGCCTGCTTGTTGTGAGTTGGTGCCCTATCTGTGGTTTAATATTTTCGTATGCTGCTTTTCACTTGCATTGTATGTCGAAAAATGATACTTTTGATTTTGTCAATCTAAAAGGTTTTGAGGACGAGCTCCTCCAGCTCATGTTGGATTGGACCATCCCATTTTACTCTATGATTTTGCAATCTTAAATTGCTAGTCATATTTTGTTTTACATCTGTAAGCTATTAACTTTCCCAACCATGATTAACCAAAAATACCTCGCCTGAATCATCTGCCAATTCTCCCCATGTTATGGTGTTGGTTTGGACCATTCCCTGCACAGCGTGCATTTTGCTTCCACGGTTCCACCTTGATCGATGTTAATGTACTGAAAGCGAGTACCTATTTTGAATAACTAATTCATTGATCAGTAGGGAACCTGTGGTTAGAAATGGTTTCCCCCGTTGGTTATCTACATCAATGGGCACCTGATTATCGATCATTAGATACCTTCATATATATGCACAAACAGATATGTCATTCCTCTGTGGCTTTCTAAGCATAATTTTCAGAACAAACTTGTTCTCATGTGTTTAGACCTGTGACTATTTATATTCTATGATTCAGGTTGCCGAGTGGGGAGAGATGAGTATGTGCGAAGCTGAGAGGAGACTCTTAGCTAATGCATTGCTTGACATCTCAAATGAATGGTTTATCCTCCTTTCCGAGTCATGTATTCCTCTCTACAACTTGAGCATTGTCTATCACTACCTATCAAGATCCAGGTACAGCTTCATGGGTTCGTTTGATGAAAATGGGCCCTATGGGAGAGGACGTTATGACGGACGCATGGCCCCTTTGGTCAATCTCTCTGATTGGCGTAAAGGGTCTCAGTGGTTTGAGATTAAACGGGAACTTGCAGTTAGGATTGTTGGAGACACAACTTACTACCCTAAGTTCAAGGACTTCTGCAAACCAGCATGTTATGTGGATGAGCACTACTTCCAGACAATGCTTAGCATCGAAACTCCGCATCTTTTGGCAAACAGGACCCTTACCTATGTAGACTGGTCGAGGGGCGGTGCTCATCCGGCTACATTCGGCAAAGCTGATATTACAGAGGAGTTTTTCAAGAGGATTGGAAGTGATACATGTCTTTACAACAACCAGCCAACCTCACTCTGTTTCCTTTTTGCACGAAAGTTTGCCCCGAGTGCTTTGGAACCCCTGTTAAAATTAGCATCGAAAGTATTTGGGTTTTGACATATCATTGAGTTCTAATTGCGTGTTTGGAGCATGTGAGCGTAGCTGAGATGGATTACCTTTTTACCCAAATTCAATAGGGTTTTTGAAACTTCAATGTTAAAGCATATTGTATGTATAGAAAAATAGGGCTCAAAATTAGGATCTTACAAAATTTCTGGTACAATAATGATCCGTTTTTATATCTGGTTGATAGTTGATCGAATGTATTGATTCTGAATCATACTTATTCAATAAATTTACTGCCTCCCATTTTTTCCCCCTTTCTAAAGACTTCATACACTTTTGCTTTCGTTAATCTTCTGATGCGGTTCCAAGTTAAATTTTGTGCTGCCGAAGATACCGTAGATTGTAGTACCAAGAATGCTCGTACACTAAACATTGCCCACTTTATTTGACAAATGTGAATTCAAAGTTACAGCGTTTGATGAAAACTAAATGTTGATACATGATTGTATAATTTACCGACGAATGAACCATGCAATGCACAGTTGCTGCAGTATGAAAATCCTTCAGTGAGTATGAAGACTAGGTAATGTTTGAACGAAGGAATTGGTCAATCAGCCTGTTATAATTCATCATGGTGTTCTCGTTCTGGCAAAGGAACTTCCTGTTGAAACTCGAGCAAATACCTCGCAGCGAAAGAAGCATGGAGTGCAGCACCATAAGGAAGTGCATCTTCGTTGATACGGAAGTAGGGTGAATGCGGCATAGGCAGGGGTCCAAGTGCATCATCTGCCATTCCAAGGAAGGAAAAGTATCCAGGTATTGCCTCTTGGTAGTATGCAAAATCCTCGGATCCCATCCACCGTTGATGGTCCTTGACCTTTTCGAAGCCAAGCATATCTCCAGCTACGTTTCTGAAGTGTTCGCGCAAGTCCTTATGGTTTACGGTCGGTGGGGACAAAGGTTTCTCATCTTCAAAGAAATTGACAGTTGCGAGGCACCTGTGTACCGATGCTTGTCCTGTTATAACCTGGTAAAAGAAGAACATCATGTTATCATTATACAAATAATTAATTAACCGATAAGAAGTGATTAACATACATATTACATGAGCAATGTTAACTGTTTTACCTGCTTAATCCGCTGCTTGAGTTGCATTAGGCTTTCCGTTGTAAATGCACGGAAAGTTCCATCTATTTTGACAGAATCTGGAATAACATTGAATGCATCACCTCCTTGAAATTTTCCAACAGTGATTACCTGAACATATATGCTTTCAAATTAGTTGACAAGAGTACTTAAAAGAGAAACACCTTTCCAATTATTTTCCATATCGCAAAATCTCAATTCTATACAACCGAAGACTGTAAAGCAATGCAGTTATGGTGGTTTCAGACAGTCACCGTAGTAGACAACCGGTTGAACAATGCTGCACTAACTAGTGCTTGCAGTCATTTGATCGGGGAATGAATCTAAAATAGGTCCCGACTAAACTGTCATTGTTTAACACAAGCAAAGCAACGAGCAGTAAGCGCTGAGCAATGCCCATTATATTTCAATCAGGTGAGGGTAGATTTTCAGTGAGAAAGGAACAGAAACCAAATAGGGAATGAATACCCATTGTATTAAGATTAGAGTGGAAATGAGGGGTTTTACCTGCGAGTCGAGTGGATCAGCTTCACGCGAGACAAGATGTTGCAAGCTGACAATCACATTAGAAGCTGCCAGGATCGGGTCAACTGCGTGGTGAGGAAGGGCTGCATGACCACCTTTTCCACTTATTGTCGCTTCAAAGAAGCCAGCCCCAGCTAAAAAGGGACCAGGTCTGGAGGCCACTTCAGCAATAGGTACGTGGTTTGCAACATGCAACCCAAAAATAGCACTAACATTCTCTAATGCTCCACCAGCTATCATTTTCTTAGCCCCTGCTCCTCCTTCCTCCGCCGGTTGAAATACAAGAACAACTGTTCCCTGTTGATGTTGAAACAAATATAAAAAAAAGTTACGCCCTTATGAGCATCATAAAACTCACATTACGCTTTCCAGTCACGAAACCAAACGTGAAAATGGCAATGTGGGGGGCAAACTATTTGTCTAATCCTGCAAGAGAATTCTTATTTATGCATACTCAGATCATACACCATAGAGTTCATAAAGCTGTTAAAGTTTACCTGCAAATCTTGCTCATGCTCTTTAAGGATCTTTGCTGCACCAAGAAGCATTGCAACGTGAGCATCATGCCCACAAGCATGCATTTTCCCTGCATTTTTACTCTTGTGCACCCACTCCAGCATTTCCTATAAATACAAAATCCCATCAATCAAATTATAAATTAATTAGTCTATCAATAACAAAAACTCTTATCTACACAATCTACACATCCAAACCTGCATGGTCAGAGCATCCATATCAGCTCTGATTGCAACGAAAGGCGGTTTTTGGGTGCCAATGAAGCCTACAACACCAGTAACCCCAACTGGATGTTTATATTCAATACTCATTTGATCCAATTCTGCTCTGATCAGCTCACTGGTCTCAAATTCCTCATAACCCAGTTCTGGGTTTGCATGTATTTTCCTCCTGATTCCCACCATCCAATCAAACACCTGGGGGTTCTGGGCAAAACTGAGCAACTTCTTAGGGATTTCTGAGACCCCATTTGAGCTCAGGGGGGAATCTGATAGCACAGTTGCTGGAACAACAAACACAGAAAGAACTAAAACCAGAGAGAGTTTCATGCATAACTTCATGATGAAAGCATAAGAGAGAGTGAAGAAAAAACCAAATATAAGAGAAGAAAACTGATGGATTCTTTGAGCTGCTGAGTACTGACCAGGTTGTGCAGTCAAAACTGCAAACCCACCTGCTGAATCTTCTAATTTTTCGCACGATTTAGTACCATTTTATTGTTATGGCAAATGTATCTGTACGTGTTAAGAAGAAAATATCAATTGGTCTTGTACAATTCCTAATCAAGCAGCTATCATATCTATTTTTGCTACTTCCTTGGCGTGATGAAGAATCTCTCTTTACCTAAATGCCTAAATAATGACGTGAAGAACGATCTCTATCCCTAAATGGCTAAATAATATTGGATTTTGGAGGATTTTGTTGGAGTTTAAGAATCTAACATTGAGACATCTTTGTGCCAATCTTTGTCCTGCCATGGCACGTTTAGGATGTAGGATAACCAGGAGAAGCATGGCCTTGGCTGGAAAAAGTAGAGCCCATAAGAACTCCTTCGCACGCTATGCAGCATGCGAAATTCTTTGAAGATCAAGTGTAGCCCCGTACTACTGATTTTTAGCAGTTCGAAGCAGGTGATGAGTCTGAGAGTGGCGGGGCCAGATTGCAGATGGTCATGTCATAACTAACCAAGATGCCCTTCAACAATCACTTAATATTATGTCTAGTGAGATTTTTCTTCACTTGAAAGTGAAAGGTTTTATGTTTAAATCTCATGGATCACAAATTTAATACCAAATTAGGTTGCCCATTCTATGCCTTAGCTGAACTCCCTCTTCCCCTAGTGTAAAAATATTGATGTGCTCAAAAAAAAAACAAAAGATGCCCTTCACACACCACTAACACTTGATAAAAAATATTAAAAAATTAAAAGAGTATGAGAGAATGAATTTGGGATGTGTGAATATAATCTCTATTCTTCTTTCCTTCTATTTTTTTGGACTAAATTTTGTGCTAAAAAGCAAAAACAATCTAGTGTGAAGGAAAACATTGAAGATCACGAAGCGTAGAGAGCAAAATCATTTGGGTTTTGAGTCTTTGGATTTGTTTTGCTAAAAGTTATATTTGATAAGGGTATATTAGTACTTTTATATCAACTTTTTGTTATAATTATCATAAATTTTAAAAGTTAGCTATAATTCTATATGAAATTCAAATTTTGATTATTTTTCCAAATTTCTCTAGATCAAGGTACCAAGGATGGATTATAGTACGGGGATATAGGTCGCTAGGCTCAGGAAGGGCGGCCAGAGTATTGGAGCATGGTTCCCACGGACTTTGTAGTTGTTCAAAAGGCCTTGGTGCCGTTTCAAAACGGCTTGACATTCGCCCTTGCTTCGCACCGTGGTTAGAGGAAGATTGTAGAGTGGAAATGGGAGCTTTACTTGGTTTTAAATTGAAAGAAATTGAAGAAATCGGTCATGACCGAGAAGAAGAGTGGAAAGTTTTTGCTGAAAAGTTCAACATCTTCTTGAAAGATTTTGGGGATATTTGAGAAATCAAACAAAGAGATTCGACGATATTTAAGATATCTCGAAATTACCCAACTATATAAGATATCTCGTCACGTTTCAAGAGTAGTAGATCCGACAACTAAATTTAATTAGAGAAAGAATGGATAGAACTTTGTTTTTTGCGTGCACGCAACTAAAACAATCCTCATCTTTGTGATATTGAACGCACGTTTCATGAGGTAGTGTGCTCGAATATGGATCACCTCAATGTTCAAGAAGTTTGCTAGGAATGAAGCCAAGATGCCAGGTGTCTGAAGAAAGAAAATGGTACTTATTCTGATTTACTCCGGAAGGCATGGTTTCTGGGTAACTATCCATCATCAAGACGTAGAATCTTGAGAATCCTGCCGTAAATGTCACAATGATGAGAATGTCTTAGTTGCATGTGCATGGAGAACGAGGAATTGTCTTTTACTTTCCCAATTAACTTCAACGTCGAACTTATTGATCTCGAGGCGAGATGATCTGGATTCAACTCCATTGATTTTAGGGAGCTTTAATAAAAATGGTTTGGACCAACAAATATTTAACTAAAAATCATCCCAAAATATTATTTAACCAAAATGGCTCAAAGTTCAATAAAAAAACCATCCTTTCTCACCTTTCTCTGGCTTAAGCTGTGCAAGCTCTACACAAAACTTTTCACTTGGGTTTTTTCAACTTCTCCAACAACAGCGACCCCAACAACAACATATTCGGTGTCGAGTTTGATGTCTTCGAAAACCAAGAGTTCCAAGATCCTGACGACAACCATGTTAGTTTGGACATCAACTCCCTTATGTCTTGTTGATGCACAAAACCGGAGGTCTTGGAACAACGTAAATCCGACCGTGAATCTGTATGAAATGTAAATAACACAAAATGTATCGTGGTTCACCCCAATGTTTGGGCTACGTCCACACTGATATTGTATTTCTTTGTTTGTGAGGGAGAGAGATGGAGATAGCTTCTGAGAGTCAGAGCTTTGAGAGGATAAGGGGTTAGGCCTAAGAATGGCCTCCCCATATTGTGACAGTGAGGAGTGATTTTATAGAGTAAGGGCTCCTCACTTATTACATATTTACCCATTCCTTTATTACATAATTACATTTGAGTCCCCCGAGTATTTATACGAGATCTAAATATGGAGGACCTAAGTATGGTACAAACAGTAGTCTCCCAAGTCTTCAGTCAAAAGAGTCTTTTGGCTGGAAACTTGAAATTCATTCCATGTATGGGCCGAAGTAACCAGATGTCGTCTAGAGCTAAATAATCGATATGAGGCGACGCTCAATGTGAAATGAGGCTCAACTAGATGTAGCACATGTTGTGAGGCTGCTCGGCTTGTTGCTTATGTTGCCTTGGTTAGCTCGGCTTGTGGCGTTTGAAGGTGAGGAAGTCCCTTTTATAAAATAAGGGTTCGCTCCTCAATACATAAATGATGGGTTAGAGTTGATGCTCGCAACGAGGCGGTTGCTCAGTAGGCGGCGATGCTCTCTAACGATGGTGAGGGAGTCCCTTTTATAGAATAAGAGCTCACTCCTCAATACATGAATAATGTGCTAGAGTTGATGCTCTCTAACGATGGTGAGGGAGTCCCTTTTATAGAATAAAGGCTCGCTCCTCAATACATAAATATGGGCTAAAGTTGATGCTCTCTAATAGTGGTGAGGGAGTCCCTTTTATAGAATAAAGGCTCGCTCCTCAATACATAAGTGATGGGTTATGAGTGATGCTCGCGGTGAGGCAGTTGCTCAGCAGGCGGCAACACTCTCTAATGAAGGTGAGCGAGTCCCTTTTATAGAATAAGGGCTCGCTCCTCAATACATACGTGATGGGCTAAGAGTGATGGTCACGGCGAGGCGGTTGCTCAGATGGCGGTGATGCTTTCTAATGAAGGTGAGGGAGTCCCTTTTATAAAATAAGAGCTCGCTCCTCAATACATGAATAATGGGTGCTCTCTAATGAAAGTGAATGAGTCCTTTTTATAGAATAAGGGTTCGCGTCTTAATACATAAGTGATGGGTTAAGTCCCCCGAGTATTTTTCATGAGGCCCAGTTGAGGCCCAATATATGGTACATAATGTAGTCCTCTAAGTCTTCGATCTATAGAGTTTGTTGGTTGGTGACTTCAAATTGAATCCATGTATGGGCCGAAGTGGTGGTTGTTCGGAGGCGGTATTTGTATACCCTGCACTGAAGCTTTGTAGTTGAAGCTTTGCAAGTGAAGCTTTGAAGCTAGAGCTCTGTAAATGAAGCTTTCGAAGCTAGAGCTCTGTAAATGAAGCTTTCAAAGCTAGAGTTTTTGTAAATGAAGCTTTTGAAGCTATAGCTTTGTAAACAAAGCTTTTGAAGTTAGAGCTTTTGTAAATGAAGCTTTTGAAGCTAGAGCTTTGTAAATGAAGCTTCAAGCTTTGTAAATGAAGCTTTTGAAGCTAAAGCTCTGTAAATGAAGCTTTTGAAGCTAGAGCTTTTGTAAATGAAGCTTTTGAAGCTGATTGACATGAGTGATGCTCATGAATGTTTATGTTGATTGATATGAGTGATGCTCATGGATGTTGACATGAGTGGTGTTCATGGATGTTGACATGAGTGATGCTCATGAATGTTTATGTATGATTGATATGAGTAATGCTTATGAATGTTTATATATGATTGACATAAGTAATGATCATGTATAATTTAGGAGTAGTGGACGTACTTTTGATCAACTGGTTGGTGGTAATAGCGGCAGGTTGCCGAATAATTGTGGAGTACTAGGCGTACTTTTGATCACCTGGTTGGTGGTCATAGTGGCAGGTTGCTGAATAATTGTGGAGTATTGGGCGTACTGTTGATCACTTGGTTGGAGCTATTTTGGGCTTATGGGCATTCGCTCTCTATACAATATTCCAGCCCATTTATTTTGGGCTTTGCCCTTTTTTTTTCTTTTTTTTTCTTTTCCATCTGATGGGGTTTATATAGATATCTCCGAAAGATACGAAAAATAAATTATATCATTAAAAAATAAATAAAGTAAATCACATCATTCTGGTGGGATGTTTATTCCTTGGTTTTGTTTTTCTGCTTTGCTTTTGTTTTTTCCCACTCCATTTCTTTCTCTTTTTCTCTTTTCCTTTTGCTTTCCACTGCATCTCTGTCTCTGTCTCTTGGCGAAACTGGAGGGCTAACTCCACTTGCTTTTCTTGGACAGCTGGTCATGAGTCGAACCCTTTAACCCAACATTGCAATAGATTTGCATCGAAAACTGAGGGTCCCACCTGCCTGCCTGTACGCCATATTTGCATGTTGTTCGGATATGGGCACATGCAAGCTTTGCATAGTTGCAGCAGATAATTATAGTGGAGATAATATATATAACAGGTGAGTGCATGGTTGGAGTTCGTGGAGGACCCGTTGGTGGTGCTCGTGCCACTGCTAGTGGATGATTGCTTTTGCCTGTTTTTTTTATGATGGTGTCTCTTTCTTTTTGAGTTGGTGGTCGACACATTAATTCGTCAAATAAAAAAAATCGTATCTTCTTTCATCAGCTTTCTCTGTCCACCACGACATTGAACCTCAACTTCCATGATATGGGTCCATCTGAAAAGCAATTTGGGATTAATTGTAACCACCCCTTCTACCCCAGTCACCAACCGCCAAAAAGCTGAGTGAGCTATCAGGTTTCACAGGGTGCTCATATCGCTGAAGCTCTACCGTCAACACAAGAACAAACCTCAGCTCCATTAAATGAATCCCATTGTACCTGAATTATTCCTTTTATCCTCCAAACTCCACGAGTATACACCATAACATGTGAATCATCGGGATGTAGTGCTTCGACCTCCTTCCTGACCTCCTCAACTCCCATATTGTGATAAGTGGACATGCGTTTTGCCACTACTGGACTCCTTTTACTATTTGAAACTCTCCGGCCAAGGACTGCTCTAGAGTCCCCCAGATTGGCTACATATAGAACATCATTTGATATTGCTCACAGAAGGCAACACGACCCAACGAAAATGATTTGGGGCATCATCGGCAAAGATCGCTTCACCAAACGCAAAAATATCCTCCTCGATGGCGCTGAATGCCTTTTTTATCACATATGGTGCCAACCCACCTTGCTTTGTGACTGATATAGCCGTCATATACACGAACATACGTCGCAGAGGGCGAGGTGAAGACCTGACCTTGATCCTCCAAATTCGAATTGGCCTGAACCACAGCAATCGAGTAGTTACCGGAGGCGTAGGGCTTCAAGTCCATGTGCCAAAGCCCATCTCCGCCGCCTCCAGCACCAAATCGCAACCCCAGACAGCGCTCGAGCAGCCTGTAGCACAAGCGCAACATACTGTCTCAGCTCGTCATCTCCGTCCGTGGGCTCTAGGTTGCGTTTTGATTTAGATTTTCTGCAGCCGTTACGTTTGAATTTGATGAGTAGATGACTGAAATTCAAGAAATTTTGAGAGAAAAAAAGGCTGTGACTGTTTTTCTGTGTGGGTTAGTGATAGGAGAGAGAAAAAAGGAATGCGACTGTGTTTCCATCGATGCTGCCATGACCGGGAGCCAAAGCGGAAGGCATGGATTTTGCAGTGACTATGCAGGTGTTTGGTTCTTGGGTTTCTGCAGATTTTGTAGATTCACGGTGGAGGTGAAAAAATGAAAGAGAACCGACATAACGTTTCGTGTCGATTCCTACATATGGCACCAAATGTTGATGCACAAAACCGGAGGTCTTGGAACAACGTAAATCCAATCGTGAATCTGCATGAAATATAAATAACACAAGATGTATTGTGGTTCACCCCAAGGTTTGGGCTACGTCTACACTGATATTGTACTTCTCTGTTTGTGAGGGAGAGAGATTGAGAGAGCTTCTGAGAGTCAGAGCTTTGAGAGGATGAAGGATTAGGCCTAAGAATTGGCCTCCCCATATTGTGAGGGTGAGGAGTCATTTTATAGAATAAGGGTTCATCACTTATTACATATTTGCCCCTTCCTTTATTACATAATTATATTTGAATCCCCCGAGTATTTATACGAGGTCTAAATATGGAAGCCCTAAGTATGGTACAAACACGTTTAATGCTTCGAGCACCACTGGTATTGGAGTGGCGAACTTGATCAAGATTTCAACGAGTTGAAGCTCAACAATGGAATTAACTATCAAGCGTGGATTGATTTTATGGGCTCAAGAATTAACGTGACCATGGCTCGTGCCGACGTGACAAAAACAACCAAATCGAATTCCTCTATTTCAAAAACAAGCAAATCAAAGTTCAAATCAAAGTTGAATAATGAAGCATTTATCGGAACAAAGCAACCGAACACAAGTTCAAAGAAGTTTAATGGCAGAAACTGGTGAAAAAGTGTCTAAAAAAAAAGAACCAAAACATAAAACTGTTTCTGGAGAACCCAAAACATAACACTGTTTTTGGAAGAAAAAAAAATCAAATACAATGTTTGTTTTGTCTAGCATAAATAAACACTGTATCTGGAAAGAGAAGAACCAAAATTCAGAAACGGTGACTTAAATTCCAGAAACAATGACTTAATTTAAAAAATAGTGACTTAGATTCTAGAAACAATCTATGTTTTAACCTTTGACTGTTTCTTTTCTTTCATGCATCAGTTGATTATATTTAAGAAACAAGGTGCTTAATTTGCTTTGATTCCAAATACAGTGAATTTCACTATTTCTTTTCTAGCTTACATTTAAGAAACAATATGTCTATTTCATTTGGATCCAGAAACAATAACTTATATTCCATAAACAGTGTTACTTAAAATCTAGAGACAATTTATTTTTACAGTCCAGAAACAGTGACCCGTCGTTATTATTGAATAACATGTACATCTCAAATTTATTTTCTAGATAAATAAACGATGAACTCCACTAATGAAGAAAAATTGAAAAACAGTATCTCGAATACACTATGAATAATAACGACGATCACATTTCAACGAAATAATACAAAATATAGCATGAGGATCTATATTTTGTTTCAAAAAAAAAGAAGAAGAAGGTCTGCAAAACAACAATAAAATCCATTAACAATGAAAATCTGGAACTCAACCTAAAAAAATTAGGGGTAAAATTGACAAATTATAATTTATTATAGTTGGGTCGTTTTTAGTTGGACTACTTTAATACGAGCCTTGTACTAATCATTAAACAATCCCATCAAATCTATCAAATCTATCACTTTTAAAATCCTTTAAAATCTTAGTTTGAATACATCCCTTCTTAAAGTATTTTGGAAAGTAAATGTTTGGGTAAATTTTGAGTATTTTTTTTAGACCATAACAAATTATGACGTTCCTCGAGATTTTAATGGATTTTACTTTCCCCTTTCTCAGACCATCTCCAACCCTGGGCTAAAAGCCAAATTACCCCCCCCCACACTCTCCAACCCATGCTAAAATTTTAGGCTAAATGCCAAATGCTATTTCTAGGTCAAATACCCCCCAGCTTTTCCCCCGGTTAAATGCGAAATGTTTATCGGAATTTAATTTTTTTTTATTAAAATGTTCATAAAATTAATTTACAATAATCTACATATTTATTTAAAAAAAATTGATTTAAGAAAAAAAATTTAGGCTAATTTCATTCTTTAATAATTCCGGGCTAAAATTTTAAGGTAGAAGGGCTGAAGCAGAAAAGATGTTTCTGGGCTGAAGCAGAAAAGATGTTTCTGGGCTAAAAGCTAAATTTTCCGGGCTAAAAAATTTCATGATATAATCCCACACCACCTCTACTAATCACCACCACTTTCATCATTTCAAATCTAACACACTTCTATGGGTCGAGGCGGCCCTGGGTTTCAAAATCGCTGCCCTAGCCATATACAGAAGGAATTCATAGCCCCACATTATTTTTCTACGTTTGTACATTAAGTTTAATTATTTCTCTTGATTTTTTTAAATTCATTCAATTTAGAAGTTAGAAATAAATAATAGTGTAAAAAAATGTATAAATCATTTTCATTAATAAAACTAACATTTGCATACACACTTGTGTGTATGAACATATTTTTTTTTAGAAAATGAGGAGAGAGGGAGAGAGAGAACGTGGGCGAGGAAGTGGAAGGTTTTTTTTTTTATTTTTTTTATTTTTTATAACATCGGAAGTATTTAAACATCATCTGTAGCTTCAATAAAAAACAGTAAAATCTGGATCTGTGAAATTACATTATTGCCATCTTTTTTTTTGTGTGTGATAGAAGATTAATTTGTCTTTTCACCATCTTTTAGTTGACAAAGAGAGTTTTATTAATTAATAGAGATTAGAGACAAAATTGGTTGTGGGCTATTATTAAGGGAACTTTAACGAAAAACTTATGATACTGTTCAGTTTAACGAAAAACCATATTTTTACACTAAAAAGTCAATCTGGTATTATTCATTTTATCATTTATTTTGTCTTTATTGTTAAAACTCAAAGTTTTCAAACTTTTTTTAATTAGTTTTATTTATTAATAATGGGCTACATCCCAAAATTTGTCAAAAAGTGAAAAAAGAAAAAAAAACCTAGACTACAAATAGGTGAAGACGAAATTCAGAGGGGATGACTAGTCAACCACCACACTCTGACTCTCGTACAGATTATTCTTGGGGAGACCGCAGGACCAGGTAATTCCTCACAATTCTTACTCCTTCCAATTTTTCTTTCTATCCTTTCATCTTTCTCGCTGAAATCCAATTGGTAATCGACGACGATCTTCTGTTTTTCTATTCAATTTCCAGGTCAAAATTGATGCTTTTTATTTTTTTCTGAAATGAACCTTGTAATTTAATAAGGGTTTTATTTGCTGATTAATTCAATCGTGTTCTTTGCATCTTATGTGGTTTGTAGTGAATAGACAATGTTGAAGAGAGCCCCGCATACAAATCTACCTCGTGATAGGAAGAGGAGGAAAAAGGAAGGGGAAGGCGTCTCCGGTGCGTTAGGTTTTGATTTGTGTACAGAAGCGTCTGGAGTTGAAGGAAAACGAAAGAGTGGAGAATTAAGCATGACTGACAAGAGTGTTAAGCTTAAACAGAAGGAAGGGGCCGGAAATTCGAATGGTGTGGATATGACAGTTGAATGCGTGGATTATGTCTCGCAATTGCCCGAAACTGTCATCCATCTCATCCTGTCTCTCCTTCGTAGTACAAAAGATGCTGCTCGAACCAGTACCTTGTCGAAGAGGTGGAGGGACTTGTGGACCTCTTTCTCTGTTTTGGCATTCGATCAGTGCAAGTTTCAAGCACCAGAGGGAGTTAAAGATAAGAAGACGTGCAATGCGATGTTTAAGGAGTTTGTTGACAAGTCTCTCCAAAGCCATTTTGAACGTAATTTGGGTATATACAAGCTTGTGCTGCATTTGAATTCGTTTGATCAAGATATGGCTCATCGTATTGAACAGTGGGTTGGACTTGCAGCTGAAAATAAAATAAAAGAGATTGGTTTCCATGCAAGCGGCCACTACACGTTGCCTAGGAATGTCTTTGCTTCGGAAACCATAACTGGATTAAGGCTAGAAGGCTGTAGACTGGATACTTCTAGCAATATAACGCTTCCTTATCTGCAAAAGCTATATCTGCGAAAACTTCCTCTTGATCAGTCGATAATTATGAATCTCATTACTAGCTGCCCTCAAATTAACGGTTTGAGACTCATACTTTGCACGGGGTTAAATCATCTGCAGATTTCAAGTCTCCTTCAACTTTATCGGGTAGAGGTACACTACTGCCATGGACCAGCTTTGATTGAAATCAAAGCTCCAAGTCTTGAAACATTTTGGTTTTGTGGGAAGAAAAACATGCCCTGCAAAATTAACTTGGCTGAATGCGAGTCTCTGAAAAGACTGACGTTAGAGGACAGTGGAATGACAGACAACCAGTTTCGTGATCGGTTCTTTATGTTTCCTCTCCTGGAGAAACTGGATCTACATAAATGCCTTAACTTGAAAAATATAAGAATTGCAAGCCATCGGCTGAAAAGGCTAGTCTTAAGAGGTTGCAAGAAGCTAGTGGATGTTGAAATTGATACTCCTAATCTTCTTTCGTTCGAGTATGAAGGTGATGAAATGCCCTTTTCCTTTTTGAATCCTATAAGTTTAAAGGAGGCCAAGTTTTCATTTGCACCAGTGAAAAACGTCATATCTGAGCCTGAATGGTTTCTCAAGATGCGAGAATTTCTTGGAAAGCTGGATCATAGAAACTTTAAACTGGTTGTTTACACCAATAAGGTTATTCCTTTTATTATTAACAATTGCAACTCATTTTTCGCTTCTCATAATTTATCTTATCTTACATGCCTTCATTGGCCAATCCAGAATGTCATCATCCATGAAAATCTTAGAGAAACTTCACCCCCTCCAAACTGTGGTCTGAAATTTGAACTAGTCCAATCATCAACTATTAGATGGTTCATTGCAGAAACGGCAGCTGGAGACCGTCTATATTTTCGTCTTCCGGCAGTGAATTCCTCAAGGTATGGTAGTTTCCTTGCATACATTTTGGTAATTGCTACCCTATTACATTATCTGTAATTTGTATACTGTTGTTGACCCTAGAAACTACAAAGCCTACGTGGCGCGCAGGCCGAGTAATTAATAAGCTAACTACGTCCTTCGGTGAATGCAGGGCGTACCAACTCGTCGGCCGAGCTCGGTCGAGGAGTAAATTTGTTGATGTTGCGTTGAGTCGCGCTACTGACTTCTGCGTCTTGCGATTGCGGCCGAGAAAGGAACATGTCTCGGCCTCTTGGGCTCTCGAACCTGAAGACAAGGTTACTATTCTTACGAAGTTCAATATCAAATTCGGCTTTCAATGTGCCGAATGTAATAACTGTAACACCTCACTTCGCCGGGAAGGCTGATGAGATGACCTCGACCAATAAGGGTTCAGAAACCCTTCTCGACCGAGACTTGGATAGGTAATCAACCGTTCTCGCCGCAGTGCTGTTGATGCCAACGGAAGATACTGCAAGACCGATCGATTCTACGGTGACAGAGCTATCTATGCCGACTTAAGATATCACCGGTTGCTTCCACAGTGCTGTTGATGCCAACGGAAGATGTGTCAGCGAAAAGAGAAAATAAAAAAATCTCAAAGTTGTTGAGAGGGTTTGCGTAGGGCAGTTTTGTGTGTTGAATTGGAGATCCTTTTGAATGATCTGCCGCTTAGTATTTATAGAGATCTGCATGCTCAAGTCGTGGAAACCAATCCCAATTGTACTGTGACTCTAAGTCTTTATCTGTTGCTAATCCCACACCTTATCACATCAACCACAACTTGCCGACATCTTGAGAACCTGACCTTCCATCAAATTCGGCTTTCAAATATTTATCCTGATGCAATCTTGGTAATATTCAATGCACTTTGTTGTTTTGATTATGTAGAGAATAAAAGAATATTATTTTATTCTTTACCATCTCTATCTTTCGCATGCCCCAAGAGACCATATCCATTTTAAATTATATCTCCTTTTAGATGGCACTTATCACTAACTTTTTGCTTGGTCAAGTTCCAACTTGATCGATTCTCATCCATGCAGATCCTTTTTCATATCTTTGTGCTGATCACTCCACGTATACACAAATTGCATGAAAAGTCCCTCACCCACACGCATATGCATCTCGCATGGAAGAAAATCTGTAACGCTAAACGGCTTCGATCAGTCGAGCCGATTGTGTAATTTTAGGCCCAAACAAATTCATTAGTAAAGATAATTATTATGATTAAAAATCATAATATTATCCTAACAACAAAATTATCCTAACTTTTCTATCTGACGGTGTGGAGCTATGCTTACTCAACGGCCTAGCTTACTTGAACCGATGATGTAAAATCGGGTCCAAACATTGCCCCCCAGTTTCCTTGAGCTTCGGCTCGTAAGCCGAATAGTTAAGGAAATTAACCAGTCAAGAAATATATGGTCGAAGAGAAATGAGCATCCACTGCCACATAAAAAAAAAATCACTCAGCAGAAAGCTGTTATAAATACAACCTTGCCGAGTAAACCACTTGCCGAGGAAGAAAAGCAACCATATACTAGATGATTGGGCTCTGTGCTGAATACCCAACAGACCGAGCAACGTGGAGAATTAACAGCCTCGACATCAATCTATGACAGCACACAATACACTAAAACAACTTGTCATGCAAGCTAACTTTATATATATATATATATATATATATATATATATATATATATATATATGCATATAAGGTTAGTTGAGGTCAAAAGCATGAAAAGGCACGTGGTCTCAGTTGAGGCGCACAAAACCCAAAAAGAAAAACCAACCTTCCGAATTGCTCCTTTTTTTTTTTTTTTTTTCAGTCAGTGCATCAAAAATCATTTCTACTTTTTCTCTCTTCTGCACCGAGTATCAAAATTCACGAAGCAGCCTCTTTATGTATGCTCATCCTCAGCAAGATTAAAAAAAAATTTTAAACCGCCGATTATATCTGTGTTGCCCCCTTATTTTCTTAAGTATCAGCCCCGAGCAGCCGAATGGTTAAGAAAATAAGTTATTTATTTAACAAAAGAAAACAAAAGTGGCCGAACTATAAAGTGGAGGGGGCCAACAATGTTTTATTCCAAACCGAGATATTTTTACATCAAAAATTTCACTTTGAGATTTGCCAACGCCGAATAAAAAAATTTGCCCAAATATTTTTGACTCGGCAAAATATTTTGTATTTTCGGCCGCCGAATGTGTGGAACAATTATTATGCCCCCCAGGCATAATTTCGGCTTTTAATTCAAACAACTTAGCCGAACATGATTTCTCCATATCGGCTTTATTGCCAATAATCATATCAATTGGCGTAGTTTCTTGGGCTAGGCCAATATCTTGGCCTCGTTCGTCATTGGAGCATTCCTCTGACGAATCATTTTCCAAGTCAATTTTTGTATCTAGCTCAAGAACTTGAATTTTTTCTTCTAGGCCTACCACACTTTCAGTCTCGACCGAAAAAATAGGTGGCTTTTGTTCTTCGGCCAAATTAACAATTTTCTTAGGTCGATGTCTGATTACGGCCGGAGCGAAAAATTGCCCCCCGGCCTTTGGGCCTAACCATTTTTCAAATGGAATTGATCTGTAATCAGAAACGTAAGGAAAATTTTCTTCATCTAGCCATGCATTAAATCGAGCCCTGTCTTCATTTACCCATTGCCCTTGTAGGATAACAGGAGCTTTTATTTTCAACATGCAAGCGAATGACTTTTGCATCTCTTTATGGCCACGAAGAACTTTTTCTGCTTCCAAAGATTTTTTACATTCCTCATTATGTTTTTTCAATTCCTCCAGGAGCTCGTATAATCGGCTACGTTGAGCCAGATTGGAATCTTGATATATCATATGAACTTCGTAGTATTAGCACTGGGTTCCACCGGGCGTGCCAAAATGTTGACCCTAGAAACTACAAAGCCTACGTGGTGCGCAGGCCGAGTAATTAATGAGCTAACTACGTCCTTCGGTGAATGCGGGGCGTGCCAACTCGTCGGCCGAGCTCGGCCGAGGAGTAAATTTGTTAATGTTGCGTTGAGTCGCGCTACTGACTTCTGCGTCTTGCGATTGCGGCCGAGAAAGGAACACGTCTCGGCCTCTTGGGCTCTCGAACCTGAAGACAAGGTTACTATTCTTACGAAGTTCAATATCAAATTCGGCTTTCAATGTGCCGAATGTAATAACTGTAACACCTCACTTCGCCGGGAAAGCTGATGAGATGACCTCGACCAATAAGGGTTCAGAAACCCTTCTCGACCGAGACTTGGATAGGTAATCAACCGTTCTCGCCGCAGTGCTGTTGATGCCAACGGAAGATACTGCAAGACCGATCGATTCTACGGTGATAGAGCTATCTATGCCGACTTAAGATATCACCGGTTGCTTCCACAGTGCTGTTGATGCCAACGGAAGTCGTGTCAGCGAAAAGAGAAAATAAAAAAATCTCAAAGTTGTTGAGAGGGTTTGCGCAGGGCAGTTTTGTGTGTTGAATTGGAGATCCTTTTGAATGATCTGCCGCTTAGTATTTATAGAGATCTGCATGCTCAAGTCGTGGAAACCAATCCCAATTGTACTGTGACTCTAAGTCTTTATCTGTTGCTAATCCCACACCTTATCACATCAACCACAACTTGCCGACATCTTGAGAACCTGACCTTCCATCAAATTCGGCTTTCAAATATTTATCCTGATGCAATCTTGGTAATATTCAATGCACTTTGTTGTTTTGATTATGTAGAGAATAAAAGAATATTATTTTATTATTTACCATCTCTATCTTTCGCATGCCCCAAGAGACCATATCCATTTTAAATTATATCTCCTTTTAGATGGCACTTATCACTAACTTTTTGCTTGGTCAAGTTCCAACTTGATCCATTCTCATCCATGCAGATCCTTTTTCATATCTTTGTGCTGATCACTCCACGTATACACAAATTGCATGAAAAGTCCCTCACCCACACGCATATGCATCTCGCATGGAAGAAAATCTGTAACGCTAAACGGCTTCGATCAGTCGAGCCGATTGTGTAATTTTAGGCCCAAACAAATTCATTATTAAAGATAATTATTATGATTAAAAATCATAATATTATCCTAACAACAAAATTATCCTAACTTTTCTATCTGACGGTGTGGAGCTATGCTTACTCAACGGCCTAGATTACTTGGACCGATGATGTAAAATCGGGTCCAAACAACTGTGAACTCTGTTTTTTGGATCATGGATCCTTCGATTAAAGCCACCGTGTTCAGTTGGATTGTGCCATCAAATAATAAATTGACATTTTGCTTTCTCGGCTGTTGTTTTTACTTGAACTGCAGTTGGTACGTAAGACGATTACCAGAAAGGAAGATCCAACGTGCTGCATAAGTATGAATTCCACCAATAAATGTTGGCAACACTTCTTAATGGTGAACTTGAAAGCGGACGAACACGTGGCTCCATGGATGGCGTGGTTGAAGTCACATCCAAGGGTTAATGAGATCACTTGTTTGAGAAATGGAAATCTGACAAAGATGGTAGGATGGCGTCCCGCCAAGGTTTACATTTAACTTGAATTTTATTTTTGTCACAATGAAATCCTATTTGATTTTTTTTTTTGGGTGTGGAGATTATATGACTATGGTCTTCCTTCCAAGTTTTTCATTTAGGTTATTGATTTTTCACGATCTTGTAAATGTTCGTTTTAACGACTTGAGTTACAATGCTCATTTCTTGTACTAGAAGTTTTGTACAAGAAGCCAGGGATTTCGTTCTTATGAAACAGTGAAAAAGTAGAATGATTTTAGCTCCCATAGGAGGATTCAAAGTATGCCGCAAAATATTCATAGTGATTTACGACAGTCAATTTTGATAATTGGGATTTGATGAGCTATATAACCCTAATTTTGTACCCTCATATGATGCCGTGAATCCTAGAACTATGAATCGGCTGTATACAACTATGAGTCTCTCATGTGTTGAGATTGATAAACTTTCTATGGTTGTAAACGCCAGACATTTCACAACTATGAATCGGCTGTATACAATTATGAGTCTATTTCACGTAATGTATATAAGCGGCCAAAGGGATTGTCAAGGAATTTCTCGGCCTAGATGCCCATAATCAAAAAGTGGAGAAGAGAAGGATAGGATTCGGAAGAGCTAGAAGCACCTAAAA